GGTAGATTTCCCAGCAGGAAGTGGAGCCTACTCTCTGTCTTGACTCAGTAGATCCAAGGCCCAAGAGGGCTGACGTTATTCCTAAAATTGTGTGTGTTCTGTTGAAGCGACATCAGCACTGCCCACTGGCAAGCAAACACGGATTCTATTTGGAGGAGGGGAAGTTCTGGGGTGGGGGAATATGGGGCAGGGGAAGGTTTTTGCGTCTCAAGTTAACTTCACCAATGCACCATAGCTTCTACAGAGAACAGCAGGCTGCATTGAAGAGTCTGGAGCAACAGCTGTGCCTTCCAAATCAAGACACTGTTCAGAAACTTGATCCAAATATGGGCCGTATGCCTCAGCAGGAGTTGGTGGGACTTTTTCCCCTCAAAAGTCCCTTTGTGCTCTAAAAGGATAGGGCCTTCACCTCACGCGTGGCTACCATATGAGGGATGACTTGGCATTCTCAATTTACATCTGGCCAGTGGCTAGAAATAAACCTTCAAAATGCCCGGGTGACCTGATGGACAATATCTGGCTTGTTCAGACTTGTTCCGAACGGCCTGAGTGAGTACTAGGACTCTTGTTTGGCTCAGGCTGCCTAAGCTAAATGAGGTTGGGCTGTTGCAAAGGCCAAGGATTCAGTGTTTTGAGTCAATAGCCCTTATTATTACTATTAGATTTAGCATCTCTGTATGTTTCATATTCTACTCTGTCCTCTCTCCATTTGGTGCAAGATACAGTCAAGAATGAAGCATCGGTAACAACAGCGGGGTACTGACACAAACACAGACCTCAAGATGAATGGAGCAGACGTGACCCAGAAATAAATCCATATCCTCACACAGCTATCTGATATTTGACTAGAGCCAAAAATATACATTGGGGGTTAAAAAAGAAAAAACGATGACATCTTCAACGAATGTGGAAGACTGAAACTGGATCCCTGTCACTTACCTTGCACTAAAATCAATTCAAAATGGATCCATATGGATGAAAGGCCTCAACATAAGACTTGAAACTACTACAGGAAACAATTTATTGGCATAGGAAGGCTCTTCCTAAGTAGAAATCCAAGGACTCAGTCAGTAGAAGTGACAAATAGAATTGTATCAATCCAAAAAGTTACTTCATAGTAAAGGTACAGTCACTAAACTAAAGGGACAGCAATATTCGGTATTTTTTTGTTTTTTGGGGGTTGTGGGGCTTGAACTCTGGGCCTGGGCGCTTGTCCCTCAGCTCTTCAGCTCAAGGCGAGCGCTCTACCACTTGAGCTACAGCACCACTTCCGGTTTTCTAGGGGTTTATTGGAGATAGGAGTCTCACGGTCTCTCCTGCCCGGGCTGGCTTTGAACCGCGATCCTCAGATCTCAGCCTCCTGAGTAGCTAGGATTACAGGCGTGAGCCACCGGCGCCCGGCGGGACAGCAATATTCTGACAAGAGCCTAATAACTAAAATACGTAAGGATTTAAAAAAAAAAAGTAAACTCTCAAGGAATCCATAACCCAATTAAGAAACAGTCAAAGAAGCTAAACAGAAACTTCTCAGAAATAAAAATGACCAATAAACAGATGAAGAAATGTTCAACATCTCTGGCTATAAAAGAAATGCAAAGCAACACAACTTTGGGATTCCATCTCACGCCAGTAAAAATGGCTCTCTCTCTAGATGAGAGGCTTGTTTTCAGATAGCTTCATGTTGATGTCTTTGGGATTTCTCTTAAATTCTAGAAAGTAAGATGATTTCAAAAAGTTAAGAACGTGCTTGAACAGAATCTGTTCCTACATCAGGATAAATCCTTTTCAGGATTATTTTGTCCGCATAAAATTACGCTTGAAAATATTGAAAGCACCTCAATCCACCAAAATTTACTTCAAAAGCAGCTCCAAACTACTACTTTTAAAACCAGCTTTTGTTGTTAGAACTGGTTTGAATTCAGGGGCTCATTCTTGCTAGGGCAGGTATTCTACTGTGGAGCCACACTTCCAGCCCCATTCTGTGCTAGTTATTCTTTAGGGTCATGCTTCCTGCCCTGGTGTGCACTTGAACCTTGATCCGCCTATTTAGCCTCAATGACAGGTCTGGGCCATCCACCCAACTCAACTCATATTTTGGCTCAAGAACCTACATTGACACAATGAGAAACACATTGTATGTTTGCCTATTTGAATTCTTAGGTGCAATATCTTCTTTCATTACAAAGACAATTAACAGGCACTAGCAACTTAAGGATAATTAATTGCATTTTTCAGTTTCTTAATCTGTTGAGTCCACTAGATAAACTTTTGAGCTGGGCGTTGATGGCTCAGGCAAGCAATCTTAAGCTACTCAGCAGGCTGAGATGTGAGGATCACAGTTCAAAAGCCAGCTCAGAAAGGGAAATCTGTGAGGCTCTTATCTCCAATTAACTATCAGCGAGCCAGAAGTGGAACTGTGGCTCAAGGGGTAGAGTGCTAGCCTTGAGCAAAAGCTCAGGGACAGTGCCCAGGCCCTGAGTTCCAGCCCCAGAACCAACAAAAACAAACAAAAAACAACCACACAATAAACAAAACCCAAAAAACAAAACAACAACAAAATCTTTATTCAGGCACCGGGTTCTTTCAATAAAGAAATTAAGATAAGCAATGGAAACATTTCAATACACTTTGAAAAGGAGACAATTCTCATAATAACTATCACAAACTCCAATTTATATGAAGAACAAACAAGGCAATAAGACCTGTTAAGAACTGCTTGTGCATTGGGGCTTAGGGAATTTTCACTTTTCTGAAAGCTGGATGTAGTATTGTCAACTGAGAAGGACTTTGTCTGTACACCTGTAGTCAATGGTTTGAAGAGCTATAAATGAGCAAATATAGGCATGCTTATCTGCAACTGGGTACTTACCAAAAAGAGAGAGAGAGATTAACGGGTTCCCAGCAGAGTGGTTCACACCTGTAATCCTAGCTACTCTGGAGGCTGAGATCTAAGGATTGAGGTTTGATGCCAGCCCCAGGCAGGAAAGTCTGTAAGACTCATCTCCAATTAGCCACCAGAAAACCGGAAGTGGTCCTATGGCTCAAAATAGTAGAGTGCTAGCCTTGGGCAAAAGAGTTCAGGAACGGCATCCAGGCCCTGAGTTCAAGATAGAGGGGGGGGGAGAGGGAGAGAGAGAGAGAGAGAGATCCAATTCAAATTATACTGTAGAACTATTCACAATCTAAACTTCCAGCTTTCAATCCCAGCATTGCAGTAGAGGAAGAGGAAGATTAAATAGGTACAGTGTGGTGGGACATACTTCTAATCCCAGCACTTAGGAGGTAGAAGGATCATGGGTTAAAGGCCAGCCCAGGCTGCCTAGTGAGACTCTGGTGATCACCACCAAAGTTTTAAACAACAACAAAAAAAATCAAGTTACCCAGCTTCAGTCAAGGGAAAAGGTTTGGGGGAAAAAAAATCAGAGGTGCAAGGATAGTGTGAAAAGTTAGGAGACACTGGGTGACGCCTTCTGTCTTTTTGCCGCTTTACCCAGAGATAGCCTCTCAACCAGTTCACCTGGAAGATTTGAGGTGCATGATGAAACCTAGCTAGGCCACAAATGAGATGGAGTAAAACAGGTCAAAGATTTGTCTTTGGTGCTACAGGCATTAGATGTGTAGACAACCAGATGCTGCTTTCGTTCTGGTGGGAAGTGCCATATTTGTTCCCTGTCAGTCAAGAAATTCAAATTTTGCTTTTTAGCTACATCTCAACAGCATTGTGCTGGGTATAAAAGTGGATCCAAAACTGCCCTGGCAGTGAAAATACGGCATATGGTAAGCATAAGATAGATGAGCTCTATTAACCATCTTTAAGGAACAGATGAAGATTTAGCGAAGGAAGAAAATGGAAGCTCAGAAATGGACTTCCCTCACACTTGCCAAGCAGTTTTCAGTAACGAGGCTTCACAATTGAGGTAAAGTATACAGATCATGGAGGGAAAAGTATACTGATTTGTGGCAATTTCCCAACATCAACTCATTTAGTGCTTTGTAGATATTTTCCCAAATCTGTTGGTCCTCAGCCTGTTCTAAAAATGGCTCTGTAAATGTGTGCTTGCCAAAAGACAAAGTAGGGCTTTTGTTCTATGTTTGTAAATGAAGGTTTTCAAGACAGGTGTTGACCCAAATCTGGAAGAACTCCTCCCTTTGGGGAAGTGCTCCAGTCACATACACACATGTAGAGCGTTTCAGAATAACATTAGAACACGTGCGCATCTAAGTGGATGCAACACGAGCTCACAAAAGCTAACAGAATGCAGTGCAATTCTGGAAGCGTTAGGCCAAAGTCAACTTCTGCATGTGATACAAAAAATACTCTCACATGAGCAACACCCATTGTGCTTATTTCTGTCCTCCACAAGGAACACATCCAACAAGAAGAATTTTGTCTGTGTTTATTTAATTATAATAGAAATACAACAGTGTGTACCAATGGAAACGGTATTCAAGAATGATGGTAACAATGTTCAGTAACAGAAATGACTAACTGGAGTGGGAGGAGTTTCCCAGGTGTCAATAAAACACATTTGCAACATATAATTGGTTATTAGTGGAAATTAAATGGAGTAACTGAGTCCCAGTTCACTTACAAAAGTTATCAAAATACTTTCAAATGTTACATTAAAACTGACAGAATTCACAAATAGTAGATAAACACTAAAACAAAGTATTTCAGAAAAATAAAAAGTATCCTGAGATCAAATGGAAATCACACTTTTTCAGAGCAGGGACATACTCTCTTCCTCCTCACAGGCTGCTGGGCAGGCTTTCCTATCATGCACATTCCACGATAAAGGAATGATAACGCACGCTGGTGCAAAATACAGCCGTGAAAAAAAAGGCTTTGGACAAATTCCTCTGATGGAACAGCAGGCCTCCCGTTTCACTAATGAAAACGTTAGAGAGCTGTGACTTGCATTTGGTTTTGACTCCTCGGATAACGGCTGGACACGGAGCAAGGCATTCTGGGCTGTTACACCAACTGACCCAGTCTATGGTTTAAGAAATGTTTATTTTCCGCGCTATTGGTTTTCAAGTTATAAATTCCGGAGCACTTTTTCTTCTTCCTCCTCGTCGCTGTCAGTCACATTGACTTGCTGGATGCTGGAGGGGGTGGAGGTGGGGGCTGTGAAGACGTTCTCCAGGGCCCCCATGTCCAGCGGGGGCATGGGGCTCAAGTAGCCGTCCCCGCAGTGGCTGTGACTGTTATAGTATGGGGGCCCGTCCATGTTCTCGCAGCCCCGAGAATCTTCGCTGTGGGCGCGTTCGTCTGGGTAGTCTCTAAAAGGATAGTCTCTATTTAAAGCTGAAAACATAGCCTCGTGTTTTTGGTACCTGTCTTCATAGTAACCGAGGCATTCTGGCATTGAACTTGGAAAATTTCCATAGCCAAAGGGAGGCCGACTATAAGGGCACGTGCTGTGACAGAAAGACATAAACAAGGGATTAGAACAGATCCTGCCACACGGTGCCCTGTGTGGGGACTGAGTAGGTGGCCGCATTCTCTTTGGGGCCTAGAGAATCCCCCAGGTCTTTCCCGTAACTAGCTCCAGCTCCCACCCCCTGCCTTGTCCCCATCCAAGGCTTATAGCCAAGAAGGCTGAAGTAATCACAGCATCCACCATCCCTCATCTCTCCACCTCTGCCTCTTACCCGGCAGGGACCTTAAGCGAGAAAATGGCTTAACCTGCCCTTCCTCTTAGGATACCTCACACCAGACCTGCCTTGGGCTACGCAAAGAAATGAACAGTAAACTCCACGACGACAATTGCTCTCACCGCTATTACAAGGAAGCCTACTGGGACAGGGGGTGAAATCAAGGGCTCTAGGATTTTAAAGGATATTAAATGACAATAATAAAATTAATAATAGAGAGTACTCTTACTATCAGAAGATCTAGAACTGATATTGTACTACAGTTGAAAAGATCTTTTTTCTGCCATCAATTTTTAGAGGGCAGATGTTTAGGAAAGGTTTTCTTGCATTTTACCAACTGGGGTATGTTTTGTTGGTCATGGGGCTTGAACGTTTGGCCTGAATGCAGTCCCTCAGCTCTTCAGCTCAAGGCCAGCATTCTACCACTTGAGCCACAGCATCACTTCCAGTTTTCTGGTGACTTATTGGAGATAAGAGTCTCATGGACTTTCCTGCCTGGACTGGCTTTGAACTGCAATCAGCAGCTCTCAGCCTCCTGAGTAGCTAGGATTGCAGGCATGAGCTGTGTGGGTTTTTTTTTTTTTTTGACACAATGATGTATTTAACCTAGAAGGTATGCATGTTATTTCATGCATTTTCTACATTTTTCTTTATGTTTATAATTGCTTTGTAAAATTAGATCCAAGCTTAGTTGAAGGAAGGGAGAGGTAGAGAGAAGGAGGTAGAGAAGACTGGAATAAAGACCTCACTTTTTATTATACCATGTCTGAAGGTGGTTTTTTTTTTTAATTGTGAAAATACCATACAGAGGGGTTACAATTACATGAGCAAGGTAATGAGTACATTTCTTATCAAGCATTGTTGCCTCCTCCTTTGTTTCCCCTTCCCACCTTTCCCATCTCCCTGCCCCCCCTCCCCCCTCCCCCCCCTTCTCCCCGAAGGTGTTTCTAATACTAAACAAAATACTAGGCATGTGCACTCATCCTAGAAAAGGGAGAACATGAGAAACTCATGTTTTGTTTAAAGGCTAGTGATTTCTCTTTGTAAGTATTCTCTTCTTCAAAAGTGCAGAACATCAACTGACAAGAGGTGTGGAGAAGTCTACGCAGGAATTGGGCTCACGGACGCCATCTAGTGATGGATAACACAAAGTATAGCAACACATGCTATACTTTGAGGAGTGCTTGAGAGAAAAATCAGCAAGGGGTCAACTGTAAAAAGCATGGAGAACTGGAAATCAGCCTAGAGAGAGCCAACAGTCACAGCTCAAGTCACCCGAGCTTGTCCCTACAGGGTACCAAGAGAAGGTACCCTTTGGGTCTCATCACTCAGAAGTAGCTGCCAGCACCATGAGCCCAACCCATGCACAATCCCCTCCCCACCCCCCAGAGCCTTGGTGTTCCACAAGCTCACCATTGCTGCGGCTCCCAACCCCAGCACCACTGCCATTCATCCCCAGGACCCTGGGAAGGGCCGACCCCACCCTGTGGGTCCACATTTGTGGCTGAGTGTGCCACAGGACCAGGAAGTTCCTCTTCCCTTCTTCCTCAGGGAGCCAGGAAGCTCTCCCTCCATCACATAGTCTGCCTTAGGGATTCTGGTTGCCCGTGTTTGCCCCAGGGAACTTCACAATCCAAACCTGTAAGATGTGTCGGCTGCCCAGGTGCTGCTGAGCTCAGCTCAGTGCCCGGAGGACACAAGGACATACTTTTCACAGTCCGCATTCTTTGTAGGTAAGTCCCACTTACTCCAGGGACAGATGCGATCTATGGGAAGACATTCATAGGCACTGCTAATGTCAATCAAAGTCAATGAAATCAGTGACTACACTATGGACCTTACCTATAACCAAAGCCAAAGACTCTACTAGGCTGATCTGCATCTTATTCTAAAGGAAAAGAAAGTCCTATAAAAGCTGTAAAAATGAGAAGAGGGCAGTGTCATACTAAATGTACAGATGGCACTTGTGGGAACAGGGGACATGAACGGAAGCAGGATTAGGCCTGAGGGAAACACAGCCCCACCAATGGCTCTCAAGATGCTTGACAAAGAGCTCACAATCATACGCTGAGCACTCTCAAGATGAAAGCAAATGCAGACTGTGCAAAGGACTATGAAAAACAATTTAGGATGTGAATGAGATATGCAGCAAAGAGCTAGAAATCACAAAGAAAACAATAAAAAATTACTGAAGCTAAAAACTACCATCAATGAAAAACAAGGGAGAGTTTCCACAACAAACTAAAATGAGAAGACATAATTTCCGAACTTGAGAATAGGTATTTTAAATAAACCCTTTCACACAGAGGGTGAAGAAAGAGGGGAGGGGGAAGAAAGGCAGGTGGGGAGTGAGAGAGTGGGTATCAAAGCTAAATTTCACTCAGGTCTCTTATATTCATTTATGTAACTCATTCATTTATTAAAAGCTAATTGAGCTGTGGACCAGTGGCTTAAGCCTTTAATTGTAGCTTCTTGGGAGGATAAGATATGAAGACTGAGGACAGGAAAGAGTGAGACTCTTATCTCCACTTAACCACCAAAAAGTTGGAGGTGGAGGTATGACTCAAGGGGTAGAGCACCAGCCTTGAGTAAAAAACTAAGAGACAGCACTCAGGCCCTAAGTTCAAGCCCCAATACACACACAAAATAAGGGAGCAACCAAATAAAACAGATTGAACACTGACAGTACACAATGTGAATACTAGGATGCAGACTCCCTCCTCCTCTCTCCGTCCCTCCCCTCCCGTGCCAAACCAGGGTCTTAAATGCAAGCCTGGATGCAGTCTCATAGCTCTTTCTGTCAAGGCTAGCATTTTACCATTGAAACCACCACAGTTCCACTTCCGGTTTCTTTGGTAGTTAACTGGAAAGTCTCACAGATTTTCCCGAGTATCTAGGATCACAGGACTCTTAAGCGACAGGAGTTTCCAAACTGATGGCCAAAATAAAATACAGTGTTGTGAACTCATCTGTGGATGACCTTCATCTGTGATCTCCCAATGGATCCCTACCTTTGGAGGTACTGGGATTTACAGGCGTGAGCCACCCAGCATTCTTGGCCACTTTATGTGATATCATGTCTGCTACATATACTGAGAAGAGAAAGGTCAACAGCATGCATGTCCTTTCTGTAAATCTCCTACTGACCGGTCCCTGCGGCTTCATGCTACCCACGGCATTTCTTCCTTACTCCAAACAACTCTTTTCAGTGTGAATACATAACATTTCTCACATCATCCTCTTCCCCAACAATTATTCTATGGTATTGATTTTAAAATCAATCAAAGCCAGTGAAGAAATATTACAGCAATACTGTTTTTTTTTTTATAATTACATGATCACTTTTTTTTGTTGGTCATAGGGCTTGAAGTCAGAGCCTGGGTGCCACTGAGCTTTTTTTCGCTCAAGGCTAATGCTCTACCACTTTGTACCAGGCTCTACCTCTGGTTTTCTGATGGTTTATTAGAAATAAGTCTCATGGACTTTCCTGCTTGGGCTGGCTTTGAACCTAAATCTTCATATCTCAGCCTCCTGCATAGCCACCAGCGCTGGGCTTACATGATTACTTTTACAGGTACTCTTTGTTTTGTTGTTGGGATCCCAATTACTTTAGGGGGTCATTTAATTTCAGCCTTGAATAATGTATTTCCACAATCAGCAGAATCAAGAGAATCTACAGAATTGTAAAAAAAAAAATCACTGCAAGCTATTTTTCAGATAAAAGATAAATATCCAGGATATATATAAAGAACTTCAAAAATTAACACCAGAAGAACAAATGATCCAATTAATAAATGGCCAAATGAACAGATAATTCTCAAATGCACATGTGGCAAATCAGCGTATAAAGAATTGTTGTATATCCTTAGTCATAAAGGAAAAGCACATCAAAACTACGCTAGAAGCCAGGCGCAGGTGGCTGATGCCTGTAATCCACACTACTCAGGAGGCTGAGATCTGAGGTTCGTAGTTCAAAGCCAGCCCAAGCAGGTGAGACTCTTATCTCCAATAAACCACTCAGAAAACCACAAGTGGCACTGTGGCTCAAGTGGTAGAGCACTAGCCTTGAGCTGAAGAGCTGAGGGACAGGGCCCAGGCCCAGAGATCAAGCCCCATGACCAACCAAAACCAAAACCACAAACAAAAAACCTACACTATATTACCCAAACAGAATTGTAAACATCAAGAACACAAACAACATGAATGCTGGTAAGAATGCAGTGGGGGGGAGGGGAAGGAACCCTTATATACTCTTGGTGGGAATGTAAATTAGTACAGCTATGATGGAAGTCAGTATGGAGGTACCTCAGGAAAATAAAAGTATAATAACCATAGGGTCTAGTGATACTATTCCTACACATATATCTGAAGGGATTTAAATGAGCATAAAAATATATACCTGCCAGATGTTGGTGGCTCATGCCTATGATTCTAGCTTTTCAAGAGACTAAGATTAGGAGGATCACAGTTCCCAGCCAGCCCAGGCAGTAAAATCCATGAGAACCCATCTCTAATTAACCAGAAAATGCCAGATTGAACATATGGTTGAGGTGGCAGAGGACCAGCTGTGAGCAAGCAAGCCAAGCAAGAGCTCTGAGTTCAAGCCTTAGTTCCCACACAAAACCTAAAAACAACAAACTCATACACTTATGGTAGCACTATTTTTAACAGCCAAGTATGGAATCATGTCTATGTGTCCATTCACATCTGAATGGATGAAGAATGGTGTATAACTCTGTCAAAAGGAATCTAGAGACCATCAT